CCCATCCATTAGACCACTGACCATATCTATTCATTTTATTTCCCGAATTTCGCACTTCCAAACATCTCATCGTCCATCTGGTACAACAATTCCTGTTTTGTTTTATTTCCACTGACACGCTAACATAGTGTATTCAGCCATCCCACCACATCTCTTTGTGACCTTGTCCGCTTTGCGTTCCATTGCATTACATCATTCGATCCAGTTGCCTACTCCCTCCACCATATGAATAAGATGCACTAAGACCTTCTACTTTTCACGCTCTTTTTGTAAACATAATTATGTTTTACATATGATCATGCTTTTGCGTGCTTCACCGGGGTTCGTGAAACATACCTTTATTCTTATTATTATCCGTGTAGCCAGATGTTGCACTCTTTCACGACATTCAATATCTTTCCCAAGGTAGGGTGCCCATGTCCGAACACAATATTGCAACTGTGGTCTTAATATGGCCTTATATGGAGGGATGAGAACCTCGCGTGTCCTACGCGTAATCGTGGAGTGTATACGAAAAGTTCCCTTGGAGTTATGTTGGATACCCTCTGACACTGATGTGAGGGTTTGAAATCGTATGGCATAACGAGTCTCAGGTTCTTAACTTCTTTTTCTCTTTTAAAATGAATACCACTTTGATTGCCAAGTTAAATTTCTGCTGTTAGAAACTGACATATGACTAAGTTGAGAGGAAGACTCCACTTTTTTGATCACCTTATAACGGCTTGCAGGTCGTGATTTACATTCATTCCAGCCACCTTTATCCGCGAACATGAAACGCGGGTTGTTGATTTCCCAAGTTAGTTCATTAACGGACATCAGGAATACTAGTTGGTTTAGCACAGAACCCTGAGTCATGATTGCCGGCACCGATAAATGCGTGCCACTCTGAACGTGGAAGGTGCGGTTTGTTATGAAGCAGCTTACCCACTCTAACTTTCCCTCCAGTTTCTAGGTATTGCATCTTTTGTTCTGACCCCTAATGGCTAACGTACTCGAAGGCTTTACTAAAGTTCAGGCAGCGGACCTCGACATGCTAATCCTCATCTAAGCGTCGTGTAACTTCATCGATGAAAGCTAGCCGGTTCGATAGGTATAATTTCCTTTTATTAAAACCACGTTGAGCTGGTGTTAGTAGCGCGTGCTCTACTATGTACGCGGCCATATGTTTACATGCAATTCTTTCTAGAAATTTGCACCGACTTCAGACATACTGCTCTGTATTTTTTGACCTTTGCATTAAACCAGCCTTATGCAGCAACCAGAATAGAGATAAATACCCGGAAAGCTATAGGAGTAACTCCGGACGACAGGACTGTGACTGTAATCCGAATAATATTCAATATTCAATGTCTCGACTTTGACTGACCAAATTTCCAGCACGTAAGAAAACAGTTGAACGATAATTGAAATTTTGTTTCCATTTCTGGTAAATACTTTAAGAAGTATCGTGACCTATAATTGCTCACTTCATCTCCCACTGATCTATTTTCGGCTCGACTCAATTGGCTAAACCCCGTGGCACATGCTTACCAGGTATCAGTATCTACTTTCTCAACCAATTTCATATAAGTACACGGGTCCAGCCTCAAAGCTAGATCTGTGGAACAAAGTCTCTGCTGGTACATGCTTGTAAAAGTAATGTGTTCTATTATTGCTTACTTTCTATATATATATATACATTTTTAGTATACGTACCTTTTCGGTTTATTCCACGGTGCATATTATTCGTGACATATTCTGTTCCCCCATTCTTTCTCAGCTGGGTATCATCCCAGAGTGTTGTGTATCGCCTTCTTGTTCCAGATTCGGTTGGTTTGGGCCTGACGAAGGCTTGGGGTCTACACCCGCAATGGACAATTTGGTACGGGCAATGGTTGTTGGGCGCGGCTGTATCCACCAATTTGACTACATGCGTCCGCATTCGGATCAGGTAGAGGAACGCACCCCCTGCCTCACCTACAAGGTGTTTTAAGGTTGGGTGTTTAGCGTGTATTCAGTCCCACATCAAAGCGACCAACGCATAAATAACGTAAATAACCCAAATCAATCCATTGCCGATTTAAGCCCCGAACACAAATGAATGTACTCTCAGAAGCAAGCTGTCATGCAGCTGATAGAAAAACATGTATTTGAGGACTGTATAAAATCGCCGTGCCCCTCTTTCCCATTCGTTTCTATCCGCGAGTCTCTATTTCCTCCCGTTCTTTGTCTCATAGACCGTCGATCCATCCTT